ACTGACACGTAAGGAGCTATTCCACGAGTCCGTCCTCGTGACCTCCAATGCGGACGAATTCGTCCTGGCAACACACCAGGATTTATTGGCTGATGACCTAGACTCCAGTGTTGCTGTTGCACAGCCGCACTGTTGAGACTCGTTTTGACTGTGGACAGGACGCGATGCATGAATATCATGTTCGGATAGTAATTACTCCAGAGCCGGGTTCCTACATCTCGGATAGCTATATGTTTTACACGGGAGTGGCTGTTGGTCTCTGGATATCTGGGACGGGACACATGAACGTACAATTGTGCATGACATGCCTTCCTCCACAGGCACGGTGTAGCATCTCATAAAGCCTAATGCGATACCTGCGGGCGACGAGTGATTGATCTAGTGCTCCGACTAAGACGGGTCTGATGCTAGGAGCTACGACACCAACGAGACGCCCCAAGAAAACAAAACCGGATGTTCACAAGAGAGGAGATTATCATATCGTATTACAAACGCTCATCGCGACAAACACCCCCAGACACGACGAGAGCAAAGTAGTTGACAGGCGACAAAAGTACATCGTGTGGTATGCAAAAACAGTCATTTCACGCTTTCGGCAATAAATGCGCAGCAGAACAGGTGATAAGGGCCCAACACCAACACTAGGGAAAGCTCTCCATAGCGCGTTATCGGCCTGTTTAATGAGGAGAGTTTTTTTTCGAATGAGGAAGCTCTGAATGGCTGAGGCTCATGATTTTGCGGGGAAAAGGGAGGTATAATACACGTTATAGGCGGCTTCGAACATCCGGAAAAACAGAAGACAACAAGACGTTGGACATTATTTGGCTAGTCCAATTTACTCGTTGATCTTGGCAAGGATCCTAGAGTAGTTGTACGGTCAGAATCCAGGTTGGCATCAGTTGATGAATGAAGGGATGTACGTACTCAGAGTCGCGGTAGAGGGTGTACTCCTCCTCACCAACCTTGATGGGGCTACCACCGAACTATACCAGAGTCCTTGTTAGCCATATCCGGAAGAGCGCTGGAGCTGCCACAAAAACGATGCTCCTTCTGCCAAACCAGGCGATGTCCGAAACGTACCTGGGGGATGAGGACACGGTCGCCGACAGCAACGCCCATGGGGATGCGCTGGCCGTTACGGTCGACGGCACCGGGGCCAACGGCGAGAACCTTGGCCTCGTTCTGCTCCTTGACGCTGCTCTCGGGGAGGAAGATACCGGAGGCGGTCTTGGCCTCGGGCTTGACACGCTGGACCAGGACGCGGTCCAGGAGGGGAGCAAGGTTCTTGACGTTGCGGAGGAAAGACTGTATAGAGAAATAACAGATTAGTAACAGGTTCAAGAGTCTAAGCTCGATAGTTGTGATGCTCAGAGGAATTGGCGATCCGGTGGAAACAGGCGGAAAAGTTCAATCGGAGCTCCAAGCAACAAAGACGGAGGGAGATATCCTACCATTGTGATGGTGATGTGATTGAGGATGCTGAGCACAAGAGGCAGCGAGCAAATCAAAGAGGAGTGATTAAGGATGGAAGTGAGTCAAGGCGTGGAGAGCAAAAGAAGAAGAAGAGGAAGCGGCCGGCCGGGGAAACGAAGATCTGATCTGGAGTCGCGAGAAATTTCCAGAATGCCAAGACCAACAAGCTTCCATCCTCTCTTGCTTTCTGCCGAGGGACTCACCACCACGACTTTTCCTACGAGCTGTTCTTTGTTTTCCTGGACATTGAAAGACAGAATACTGCATTTTGTCTCGTGTGGACAGCCATATACTTGACAGCCACCCGGTATGCCTACAATTACCCCAGCATCTCCAGTCTGGCACATCATTACCCGCTCGCTCCCTTTCCCGAGCCGGCCAGACCGACTCCGGACCTGTCAAACCTTCTCAGTTCTTCTTAATTAATGGATTGCATATACCTTGGGAATTTTCTAACTCCATCCTACCATCCAACCATCCAAAATGCCACCCCCCCACATAGCCGTTATCGTAACATGATACTTTGATAAAGCCTAACTCTAACTACCATCTTCTGCCCCGTCCACGGCCACCTCCTCCGAAGCCTCCTCCGTAACCCATCTGCTGTTGACCACCACCTTGACCCCCAAATCCAGGTTGACCCTGCTGTCCGCCGCCTGCGCCGGATTGGCCGCCCATGAGCGCCTGAGCATGTTGCATGAACGTCATGGGATCCATCGAGGCGGGATCCAGGCCTTGCGCCATCATACTCGTGAGGATCCCCTGCATCATCTCCGGCGACATGTCCGGCATACCGGGCATACCGGGCATCGGAGGGGCCGCGCTGCTTGGAGGAACGCCTGGCCCCGGTGGACCACCGCCCATCGGCGGCATGCCCATCCCCAGGAAAGCCTGCATGTCGTCCAATTGTCTCTTCTGGTCCCCGATATCCTTGCGCAGCTCCTGCTGTTTCAACACGTAACTGGCCCATGTGAACTCATCAAACCCGTAGTTAAAGTAGTCTGTGATATCGGACCCCGGTCGCCGCCACGGCTTGTCATCTTCCGGAAAGTCCGCATCCATGTCAGTCAGTAGGATGGGCTTGCCCGTCGTCGGGTGGACGGGATTGGCATGAACGTCGATCGTGGACACTTGGACTGGAGGATATGAAGAGCCCGGCCTTTGCGGTGCAGCCGGTACAGCGGGTCTTGCGCTGACAGGTACGGGCGTGGCGGATTCAGCTTTGGGCGTGGCGAGAGTGGGGGTGGAGGGTTTCGGAGCAGGAGGAGACTCTGCGGACGAGGGGCGTTGTGATTCTGCGCGTAGATTGGCATGACGAGGATGTGGGCTGTTCGAGGGTTAGACAAGCTGTAGGAGCTATTCCCGGAGCTCGACTCACGCTTCTGGAGGTGGCGCATCAGCGGGCGCTTCAGTAATGATGTTGAAGTCATCCTAGAGCTTGAGTTAGACGGCCAAAATGTAGGTGCAGTGGTTTCGTAACCATACATCATCTTCATCCACCTCTATCTCTTCTTCCTCGTATTCCTCTCCATAGTTATCCGCAGGAGGATTCTGGGCACCATTCTGATGCTGAGGAGCCGGCACCGTGTCGGCGGGATCGTAGAAATCGTCGTCTTCGTCGTCCATCATCTTGAAGAGCTGCAGGAGGTATGGAGTGAACGGATGTAACGAGGCGTAGCGGAAATGCGATCCTGTTTACGGCGATCCTGCGGAGATCGCACGGGCGGCGGGTTTGGCCTGTTTGCTCTGGCTTTGTTCGCTCGCGACGAGCTGCCAACCTTCAACGTCAATGAAAGAACCCCTCCCCTGGTCAAGTGATATCGAGGTTAAAGAAAGGAAGCTATCGGAAGCTTGTTGTCTTAGTCCAGGTCTTACTGTGCCATTGACATTGTTGGCTTACGAGCATCAATTCGACCACCCCAATCCGGAAACTCTCCCAATCACGTGCCGATACGTCAGTCGTTTGCATGTGAGGAAGAACGACAAGCCACTTACACTTCATTCTAGATAGAACTCCAGAACATCCCGGCAATATGTCGAACTCAGAACAGCCCAGCCATAGCTCGACTCCGAGATCCTTCACAAGCCAGACCGTCTCTGCCGAAGACTTACTCAAGTCGCAGACGGTTGGTCTGGTGCACCTGTCCGATTTCCGCAAACGCCGCGCAGAGGTCCTCGAGCAAAAGGAACGAGAGGCCCATGATAAGTCGCTTGGGAGAAGCTCAGCCGGTATTTCGAGAAGTGCCACTCCTTCCACGGGCGACATCACTGACGGGTAAGTCAAGGCTTGACAGTGTTCCGTTGCTGCCCCACGATGCTGATCGCAACGCAATAGCAGCTCGACTCCCCGAAGCGACGCCCCTCCCAAGAAGAAAAAGAAGAAGCCGCTCGTGAAGAGCAAGCTCTCATTCCACAACGACGAGGAGGAAGAGGAAGAGGTCGACAGCGCTGCCGGTACCCCACGCGATTCCAGCGTTCCACGGTCCGCCTCGAGGACTCCAGTCGACGACGGCTCTGCGCCACCATCACGGCGCATCACGCCCAACCCCAATGCTCCTCCTCCACCGAAGGCGATGACAAAAGCGGCCTTGAAGGCCGAGGCCGAGGCGCGGGATGCTCTCCGCCGGGAGTTCCTGGCTATGCAGGAAGCCGTGAAGAACACCGAGATATTGATTCCTTTTATCTTCTACGATGGAACGAATATACCCGCTGGGACAGTTAAGGTCAAGAAGGGCGATCCTGTATGGCTGTTTCTCGACAGATGCCGGAAGGTTGGAGCCGAGCTTGGTGTCAGTGGCAACAGCCAAGCATCCAAAGCGCGCAAAGACAACCGGCGCGAGTGGGCTAGAATCAGTGTCGATGACTTGATGCTGGTCAAGGGCGAGGTTATTGTCCCACATGTGAGTACTTGCCATAACCTGAGTTGACATGGGGCACTGGCTGATGGATGCAGCACTACGAGCTATACTATTTTATTGCCAACAGTGTTCCCAGCTACACGAGCGCCGGTGGCCTGTTGTTCGACTATTCTAACAAGCCGCCGCCGGCTACCCGATCTGACAATCCTCTCGCCAAGCCGAATAGCGACCAGCTGGAAGGAGCCGATAAGGATCCCACCCTGACGAAGGTGGTCGATAGACGCTGGTATGAGCGCAACAAGCACATTTTCCCTGCGAGCTTGTGGCGGGAATACGAACCTGGGCCCGAGTTTGAGGAGAAGATGCGGACGACAAGGCGCGACGCGTCCGGAAATACGTTCTTCTTCTAAAGTGCTGGCGCAGGGAAGACTGTAGACTTATAGGGGATGCGCTAGAGAGCGAGAAATGTTATGTATGCTAAGATACCCGTATAAACCCTTTGGCAGTATATAGTCGAAGTTGAGATATTTACCATTTTTGCCACTTTTGTGGCTGTTCCATACTGCGTGCATTCGAATGCCTTCCTGATCTAGCTTTCGCGCAGCTTCATACAACCACTCTCACCCTTTTTCAATCTACACGACCTAGGGAACTAGAGAATTGTCAACAATGGATTTTTACCTTCGATGCAATTCCCTCAAATGTCGAGCCCAGCTGAAAGAGAGAGCAGTCGTCACGACCTGCTCGTAAGTCCAATAGCAGTTTCAACTTTCCACAACCTCCGTCACTGACCCTTCCGGAGACACATCTTCTGTCTCCAATGTGCCAGCAATCTAGGTCTTTCACATCCAACGTCAGTCGACCGTCGTTGCCCAGCCTGCCAAACCATCCTCGTCAATCCAGACGACGCGGTCGCCACCATCCTCAACCCGTCCGAAGACTACAAGACGAGCGTGCTCAGCGGACTGGACCCGAACACGATCATGGAATGCGCCGGCCGGGCCCTGCTGTTCTGGACGTACCAGACCACTCAGGAAGTGTGCGCGTTCTTCCTCGCCCCAGCACGTAAAACCTCCTCGAGACCCCATCACTAACAGACCATTCTTCCAGCTTCTACCAAGAGTTCCTCGGAAAGACTCTCACCGAGAAATACACCAACCTCAACACCCAGATGGACAAGGTCATCCACAACGCCAACTCGGAGATCTCTGCCCTACAAGCACGAATATCAGGTGAGCCACTTCCAATTTCAATTCCAAGCCACCACCTCCCCCCTCAGCTCCCAAGCCCCCAGCACCCTCCAAAACCCAAACCAAGATACCAACACCACCCCCTTGGCAACCAGACATGCAAACGACGCAAGAGCAACTCCGCAAAAAGAACCAAGAGCTCGTCGACATGTACCGCGAGAAATGCACCCGCTTCACGCAGATCACCAACCTGTACAACTTGCTGAAATCGCGCGCCATGAAGTCGCAGATGCAGACCGCGGCGACGGACTCGGTCCATCAGACCTTGAACTCGCTGCCGCTGCCTCTTCCTCCTCTGGCGCACTCACAGTCACACCAAAGTAACGTGCCGCCACCGTTGCCATTCGCTCTTACAAGTTCTGGTCCCCCGGCAGCAGCAGCAGTAGGTGCAGGTGCAGGTGCAGCGGGTCTCCCAATGCACATGCACATGCACATGCCCACGCACACGCACACGACACTGGGAGCCTCCATGCCCCCGCAGACGCCCCTGCACCGGTACCCGGTGGACCGCGAGGGCGTGGAACAGCTGCACCGGCACCAACGCAGCGGAACGGGGAGCTCGAAGGGGGCGGCGACGCAGCAGCAGAAGCAGAAGAAGAAACAGAAACAGAACGCGGATGCGGTGGCTATGCCTCCTCCGCTGCCGCCGGGGCGGTTACTGGGTGATCCGCGACATCGTACGGTCATGCCGAGATCCCACTTCTCCCGAGAAAGAAGATACTGATTTTGAGATGTACAGGCGAGACGAGCACCCAGCACCGCACACGGCTAGGTGGTGGAAGTGGAGGCGGTGGCTCCAGCACGCGCCCAACGACCGGATCCTCGACGCTCCCGCACGACAGCGTGCTGCTCGCGCGGTTCGGAGCCGACGGCGGACCGAATAATCCTTTTCTTGTCGGTGGCCCTGCAGCCAGGGACAGGGACAGGGACGGGGACTTACTGTCCAGAGCCGACGGAGGACATCTGCGCCATGCCGGCTACCCCGGGGAGCCTCCGAGCGTGAGGCCATACTTCGACAGTACGGGGCTGTAGCCCTATACTTGCATTACAGGAGGCCTCCTCTTGGAGAATCGGTAGCGTAGCTAAGTAAGGGGTGGTGAGAGGTTGAAACAAGGTTTGGTGTGGTGGGACCGGATCTTCCTGGCTTGTTTGTTATGTATTGCAAGTTGCCTTGGTGTGTGTTACGCATGCAGGCTGATTTAGAACTTACGTCCGGCGATTCGGGGGAAAGGAAGGGAGGCGGACACTGTGCTTGTGTATATATGTACCTTGCTAATTGTACGGATGAGCTTGTTACTCGGGGACCGCGAGCAATGAATACGTATACATGGTACACTCGAGGAAAATGCGGGGCTGAACTGGGGTTCTCTGATCTGTAAAGCTAACGATTGTACTGTACTTGACGCATTCAACGGTTGTGTCTGTCCCGTGACTCGTAATTTGATACAGTGACAGCTCATCACAGTGGCCCATGGTTCAGAGTCATTGGCAGCTCTCAAGCACTGGTTAGAGATCAATTATTACAGAAGTGATCTGATGAGTTGATCAAAGCAACTGGTTTTGAAACGGCGGATAGGGGGAAATAGATTCTCGAATACCATCTCCTTGCCCGACCCAGGAACTGTATGACCTGCATCAGAGGAGCTTTTCGCGAAAATGTGACTACATCTCAGGGTCTCTTCCTTGGATATTACGTTTTAATTAGAGGTTTGAGATTGTGCAATTATTAAGTCAAGACAAGACACTATGAAGTAGATAAAGGACAGGTGTCTGACGAACGTAAGCAGCATATCAAGTTTGGCATTTGCCTGCAATAGCAGAAATCCACCTAACAATAGTATCAGGACATGCTGGAATCAACAATGGCTGCACATTAGAGAAGCCCGAAAGAGAGTCACAGAAAGCGATGAAAGATGTCACAGATTTCAGGATGTTCTTGTGTAGCAAGAGATCTCCAGTAGACTTGTATGCTGGGTTGATGTGGCATATGAGAACATACACGATCTTGTACGTCTTTGCAAGCAAGAAGACCCTTTCGCGAAGAGGCGAGTTGATGTTGCCGCTACTGTCTGGTATGTTAGATCTATGTCCTGGTAAGAACAGCTGCGTGGTGGCCTGGGTGTTCGTTAGCATGAGTGCCGTTGTGGCAGCTATAGTTATGTCGGCGTGTTGGAAAGAGTGTCCAGCACTCGACGCAGTGGCTGATGTATCTTCTTCAGGATCAATATAGTCTATTGAGTTGACAAGATCGCTCGCTTCGAGGTGACGCACAACTTCTGGGTGACTTCTGAGAAGCCGGGTTGATAGCGTCAATCTCAAGCCACCCGAGAGATTTTGTGGAGCAAGAGGAACCTGCTGAGCGAGATCCAAGTAAATGGACGCCTTTTCCTCGGGAAGTCGAGTGACCGGTGCTCTTTCCCCAACCTTTGCTTTGAGAGCTGGCGAGCCGATATTGGGAATTTGCGTAACGGACTTTTTCGTATTCAGTCCCCTGACCTGCATAAACGAGACCAAGGAGCCTAGGTTCGAGGAGGCCACTAAAGGCAGAGTCTCACGACTCTTTTTGCCTGAAGACAGCTTATTATGTCTTCCCATTGGAGATCTCGTTTTCGAGGGCGTTCCACCATTACTGGATTTACGCTTTTGTGGTACACATGAGCTCTTGCGGAGCGATGTGTGGCCGGAAGGAGTTTCGACATCCCGGATGGGTATGTAGTCACTGTGTATCTCATAGCGCTCCGATAAATTCTCTGGCATTGTTGTGACCTCTATCCTCATATAATCGCTTCTTTCCCTCGCACAGACAGGGCTGTTCGTCAACGCAATAGCCCCTTTCACCGCGGTCGACATACACTGCTCTTTAGTTGTCGAACCTAGCCCCAGCGAGTTCGACTGCCCTTGTCGCATATGTTTGCAGTCTGTACGCGTATTCTGGGGTTGGACTCTGAGCTCTTGAGCAATCACGTCGCTATTTGAAGGAGTATTGATGGCGTAGAGCTCTTCTTTATAAGGGAGGCAGTCAGATGTAGCAATGTTATCAGTTATCTCAGTATACGTCACTTGAGAGATGCCATGGATGGACGTCGCATCGCTTGTCGAGAGCTGACTGGCATAGGAAGAGAGTTCGCGGTCCTGCAGTGACTTATGTTGAGTCACCACACAGTCAGACAAATCGATATCATCCTCAATAGGCGGTGAGGTGTGAGAATGGTGCAAGTGTGGTTGATCAGATTCCTTTCGCACATTCGGGGTTCTATCTAGCAGGTTATGTGTTGAATCGTTGACCCTCGCATCCACGTTCCAAGGGTCCTCCGAGGCTCCGTCATCATTTTCTGCAGGCATGCTGAAGCTGAAATGACTCTCGTTAGCGGGAGGGAGCGATTCCTCCCCATCAGAGAACTGGTCATCGTTGACAGGGAGAAGGTCAGGGGAGTTCGAACGTGAACGTGAAGCTTGAACCTGTAGAAGTCAGCACGCGACCAATGCGAGCAAGACGAGAAATGTAGACCCGCCTTCTTTAAGTCCAAATCAGTCCGCATTAGATCCTCCAGGTTTTCAAAGCGAAGATCAAAGCTCTTTCGAGCCTCCTGTATCAAACGCAATGCACCCTTCGAACAGTCAAGCTTCTCCTCTCGGATGTTCTCACCGGAGGTGTCTATCCCATGTACCAAGCCCCTCGCTAAAACCACATCGCGATCGCTGATTTCGTCCTCCAATGGACTGAGATGGAAATCGTCGAGACCGTAACAGACAGGTCTTGCACCAACAGGTAGACCTTTTTCCTCGTCATTGGTAAAGATTGGTGTCTCCACTTTCAGCTTATCGTAACGATCCCATGATGGCAGGATAATCTCCCAGTGACTTTTGATGTCGGTGGGTTCGATCTTTCGAAGAGCGGATGCAAGGAAAAGTGCGCTTTCTTTCTTAAGGTCTAGCTTCTCATGATGGAGGCTTTGTTCGAGAGATGTGTGCACCTTGTCAAGGTGGTCCCGGAACTGGGAAAGGGAGTTTGAGAGAAGATCAGGAATTGCGACACAGCTCTCTTGTACGTGCTCGAGGGGATCCACGTCTGTATAGCTACTTGCTATTCCATGAAACCGGGCATACTCTAGCACTGCAGAGTTTATGGAATGGGCCATGAGGATGAATAGTCAAAAGTCAATGGTAATGATTGAATTAGTTGGTATCAGTAGATGGTTGAGGAAGGAAGGAGGTGGTCCCTGGCCACGTGCCCCGCAAACGCTCATAGTAAATGACAAGAGCCCATGTAACGCTCCGGCTTCAATGACATGATAAACTCGCTGGATTCTGTGGATCAAGACGCTAGAACTGCAATGACCCCAGTCTTCCAAGTCTGCATAAAGAGCCCGCTCTTGCAGTCTTTGTCTGACGATAAAAAATAGCAAACGAAGTAACGCCAGTGCTCCACAATATTCATAAATTGAAAGCACCTTCAATGATAACCTTCTTTCAGTCGTTGTAGTTGGACTGACGGGATCCATCCTTGTTGACAGGAGGGAGGTTGTAACGAGCGATGTACTCCTCCTCCTGCGATTTCCCTGCTGGGTCCAACACCGGGCGCTCAGCATGGGATGCAACTCGGACCGCATGACGACGGTGAGGAGCAAACCCATAAGAGGCTGAATGATTCTGTCGAGATCGTTAGCAATTTGGTAGTTACCAAGCCAGGGAAGCGGCTACTTACTGTTGTTCGGTTGTCCCAAATGGCCACGTCATTCTTGTTCCATTGGAAGCGAGCGTGCATCTCTTGTGTTGTTGCAATCACTTCGGTGAGGTAGCGGATGATAGCATCACTTTCTGTCTTGGGGATCCCGACAATCTTCGTCACGAAGCCAGGGTTGAAGAAGAGACTGTTCCAACCGGTGACAGGATTGGTCCTGATCAATGGATGCTCTGTTGTGACAGGCTCACGACGAACCGTTCGCCCAAGGGCTCTGGAGTCGGAAGCCTGCATTTCGGCAGAGTGAAGAGCTGTCAAGCCCTTAAGATATGTTTGCATATGAGTTGAAAGTGCATCGTATGCTGCATATTGGGATGTCCAGAGGGTATCTCCACCGCCTCCCCGAGGGGGGCCAGTAAGAACCTTGAGGGATGTGTACGAGGGGGGTTGAACTTCATAGGTCACCTGTTACCAGTCAGTGGGCTGCGACTGATACGCAAAGGCAATGCATGTTACATACATCTGAGTGCCACAGAAAGCTAGGCGTGAACATTGCCCGTTGGTCGGCAGCATTATCGCCTGCATAGACGACATGGATATCCTCCAATCCTTCCTTTCTAGGAACGGCTGTGGTGGCATGCTAATAGTAATCATTAGATCAATGAGGTCCAAGACACCAGGAGAAATGGGCTTCATACCTTGTGCAATTTGCCGAAATGCCTGCCTAGGTCACGCTGGGCGTCAATGTCCAGATCACCTTGGTCACGGAAGAAGACCACGCCACGGACAGCAACCAAACGGGCTAGGTCATCCTTCTGGGCGTCTGTCAACTTGGCAAGATTGACACCATGAACTTCCGTGCCAATCTTTGGAGTGTAGTCGAAAACATCTGTCGCGTCCTGGAGAAGGTTCCGGAAGCCGGGGTCTCCATGAAGCCCTCTATCCTCATGAGGGATCTCTTCTAATGGTGCCCAATGAAGGTCTGGAAAGGACGGTAGCAAGTCTTGGTACGCATAATTTTCGTGATTTTCCACAGTCGTCCTTCCCGGCTGGTAGCCGAATTTGTTGCCGGCGATGTTCTGCTTCTTGGTGATAGAGATGGATATTAGATCCTGGGAGGGAAGAGGGTCCACCAACGAGGGCGCCATGGTTAAGGATAGTAAGAAAATGAACTCTATAGCAGAAATGCAACTGAGAATTCAAGCATGTGTAGATACACAAGGAGAAGATAATAGTATTGCAACGAGCTTGTTATGAGATACAGGTAGAGCTCAGGACTTGTTGCTCATATATAGGCATGAGGCAGAGCAGCCTGGTTCCCCGACCTAATTGTCAGCAGACGTGCTGGGAGCCGTAAGACTCATCTCCAAACCGGGCTGATGTTACGGACAATGTATTGCACCATCGATGGGCAAAATCACCCAAGAGGCCGGAGACCGCAGGATAGCTAGTCATGAAGCAACCATGGGGCGACGGGTTCCAGAAAACATTCCGAAGCCCCCGGGCGCCACAGATTCGGCGCCGATCGCGTCATCGCGACTGGAAACTGTGGGGAAGGACATCGACCCAGCTTGCGACTGGATAGATGGAATTGTCCGCCATCATACCTCACAAGTGAATCTGAGAGAGCAGATGGCAAGTACATGCGCTGCATCATCGATTGGCAGCGTCACACCGACATTTGGAGACGTGGACATGGTTTCATGTTGTGGTGGTGGTAGAAGCAGGAGCTGTTCTAGATTCAGGGCGGCGTTCGGGGGTTCTTCCGCCTCGCAGATCATAGATCTTAGTGCTGGTGCTGGGGTGAGTCAACAGGCGATCATTTGGATGGGGTATCGAGATAAAGTGATGCAACCAATTCTCAGAACTCACAGTCGGTATCACAAGCTAGTGGAGAAGTAGTATCGTCGCATATGTCATGGTGACAACCCAGCAAAGCCGACTGATGCCGAGTGAGTAAACCCAGTCCGATTGATTGATAAGACGGGGAATGAGGCTAAGAAGGTGGATCCGGGGATGAGGTGCGATCACGCCAGTTTGCCGCCCTCTTGCGTTTTCCCCCTCACCGCCCGGCCTTAACTTGACCTCCGTCGGACCTCATCTTTTCGATATTACTATTAATACTCTGTACTCTAGATAGCAATTTCCATTAGGCTTATACAGAGCCCAATTATCCTTGATAAGACACGTAGTCTATTCTTTCCATTCAGCTACCAGATCCTTCGAGTCCAGAGATCATCAATCTTGAATTTATATTGCATTCCATTATGATATGCCGGCGGCGCCCCTGCCCCTGTATTGCATCACACAAAGAACTCCTCATTAAAACCATGCTAACCCAAACAGACAAAAGTGCCATGATCCCTTGCTTTTCACCGTCGCCAAGAACATTATATTGTACAATGAGAAAAACAAAGACTCAGCGCCGACAGAGCAAGTACGTATCAAGTAGAACCCGTCCTTCAGAGGTTGAGCCTGCCATCAGCGGCCGAAGGAGGACCCAGGACAACTTCCTGCACCTGCTCGGTCACGCCGCCGAGGCGCCCGGCAACACCTAAGATACCAGCCTCCACGTCGCTAAGCACGGTAGCAAGATCGTTGACTATGGACTTGGGAGTTCCAGACGCCGGTCCATCACGACTCCGCGCCGCCACAAAGTCATGAATCTGTCGTTCCAGAGTAGACTCAACTCCGTGAAGGTGGTCCTCGATCTCCTTCAAACTTTGAGTGTAGCGCTCGAGCACAACTCCCATCTCATCCGACCGCTGGGAGAAGTAATCCACCAAGTTGACAGGTACCCCGTTCACGCTGGTGGCAGTGGCAGGATCGCTCTCAACATCATCGGGAAGGGCCAGAGTGTTCTTACGCGTCGAGCGAAGTGTCTGTGCATCGGTCTTCTGGTTCTGAGACGTCCACCAACCAGCTCCACCGGTAGACTGATATTGTAGGGGTAGTTTCAGGGTGTCGATGGCGCGGAATGCAACCTGGGCCTCGGCCGCATCGCGCGATACAAGATTGCGCAGCTGATCAATCTCCCTGGCATCGTTTTCCAGGGCATGTTGCATGGTCTCAAGCTTCCCTTGAACGAAGTCCACGTCGTGTGGTATGCTTTGCCCCTGTGTCTCGATTGTAGGAATCATGTTCGAGACTTCATTGCATAATTTGATCTGACCCAGCACGTAATTATCGAACCTCTCAAGCTCCGCCTTGATCTCATCCGCACAACTCTCATACTTGGTTGTGGGGAGGATGTTGCTGACGTCGATCTTGACGCCGGGAATTACGGTGGTGCCACCGAGCTGCGCGGGTTGTTGTGAAGTGGTGCTCTGGTTGCCAAACAGACCAAGTGTAGGTCTCTGAGCTTGAGTTTGCTGTGCATTGTTCTGAGTGGCACCACCGCTACAACAGGCTTTCTGTTAGTATGCATCACCATCTTAGATTATGGAGAAGTTAGGTAGATACTCACAATAGACCTCCTCCGGTGGTAGCAGTGTTGGTTGTAGTGCCGCCGAAGAGCGGCTTGGATTGAGCTTGAGTGGTCGCAGCACCGCCTAGACCACCAAACAACCCCCCGCCAGTAGTTCCACTTTGCGCAGTGTTGGTAGTGCCCGCGGTTCCTCCAAAGAGTCCACCGGTTTGTGGCTGAGATGTGGTGGCTGTCGCGTTGCCAAATAAGCCGCCGCCGGTGGCGGCATTGTTCGTTTGCTGCTGGCCGCCAAACAGATTCGATCCGGACGGTTGCGATTGCTGTGTAGTGCCACCTCCCAAGTTCCCAAAGAGTCCCCCGGCTGGTTTTGGCTGCGCTGTGTTGTTCGCTCCCAGGTTGCCGAAGAGGCCACCGGAAGTGCTCGTGGTTGCTGGTGTGGTCGCAGAGCTAGTTTGTGTGTTGGTGCCGCCGCCACTATTTGTGCAATTTTCGGTTAGCTCATCTGAGTCAGGTTTCGCGACCATAGTGAAAAGAATGATTGAAGCAACTGATTGTTCGAGTTACAAATGTATTGGCGATCAGACGTAGGCAGGAACAACGCGCAGTTGGATGGAAGGTTCTTACAAGAGGTTGGATGAACCGGTGTTGAGGGACAGGCCTGTGCCAGTGCCTGCAGGCTTTGCGGAGAACATTGCGCACTGTGAGGGGGGCAGCAAAGACCGGAATGTCAAGTGCTCAAGCACAAATGATCCACAAACAAAGAAAAAGGCGCTTTGTACCTGCCAATCTGCGCCGCAATGGATGGGTAGTGATGGATTGGTGAGTGGAAAACAATCAAGTCAGCGATGGTTGCTCGGGAGCTAACCTCACTTCCGGCAAGTTTCTCCGTGGTCCCGTGACCCTGACGTGCCCCAGCTCACCATTGGCTTATCGGAATCTGATAACCATATCACATCTGAAGGACCTCACTTTTACTATCCACCTAGTAGTCTGAGGTACTGACATTGATACATAGTACAAGCTTCAGGAATTGACTTTACTTCATAGCTTTGACTTTATCACTGCTTCGAGGTATCACTGCTTCGAGGCTCACTTGGGAAGGCAACCGGTCTCCACTAGCAATTCTACCACCCTTGTTCCAGCCAGGGAAACTGCATCCACCTATCCTCTTCCAGCGCGTTCTCCGTATTAAATACATCGCTCGAAGCGAGTATCTCCTTTCTATCTTGTGCTATAAGCCTCACAGACATTGGATCACTCAGCTTTTGAGACTGGAGTCATTGAGAATTGACGCCGCCTGTTTGGCCTGCAGCATGTGCCCTGCTTGATTATATCCTATCACGAACACATCCTAGCCTGATCCCAAATAGGCTCTGAACTTCATATCGGGAAGATGGTTGAGTATGAGTCTACTACCTCACAGCCTCTTTGTGTGGCCATCTCAAGTAAGGCGGAAAACGAGGAGCAGAGTCCCCGAACGGAGACACGTACCTTCAGCCAGGAACAAGATGGCCGGGGAGAGAGAACGCCGCAAGCAGCTCCAAGGCTTTCTGACTTAGATATCATCAAAGGTGCCGAATGGTATGAACACGTTCTTGACCTTCCCCCTTGAGATCACGGCTAATGGAATCTCTCAGGTCCGCTGATGGAACTACGTTATTGACCGACTCGGCAGACCATCATATCAGGAGCTACATATTGTCAGTATCTCGTGCTCCAAGAGTCTCTACCCCATGAATTGACAGTTATTCTGTAGACCACCAGACTTACTTGAAGAGAGACCATCACCTATCCCCCTCTTACCCTATTCGACACTGGCCTCTGCTGAACCGACATATGCCATGGCCATGTACCCTTTTTTCTCCCTCCAAGACCCTTCCACCACCTTGTTTCTTTCCTCCGTGAGAGACCACCCAATTAGACTGGCATCTGCTTTGGCGCCAATGCAGATGGCGTCTTATTCGCTGGTCAATCCCATGACAGAGGCTTTCATCACACCCCACTCAATGATCTACCCACCTAGTTTAGGAGGCACCCAATTCCTCACTGGATCCGATAGCCTCATCTGCCTGTTCGATGTTTCGCGACCAGGAAACGACGGGCCTGTCACAACGATGCCTACCATACCAAGTAAGCGCAAACAAGTGGTGGGCGGTGGTGTTGGCATGAAGGGCATCGTTTCTGCACTGGCCGTGGATCCAAGCGCACAAGGCATCTTGGCTGCAGGGACATTTACGCGACACGTCGGGCTCTATGACTCGCACGGAAGCGGGCAATCTCTGGGAACGTTCAGCATCGCGAAAACAGAGGCAGATCCTCACATAGGAGGGCGCGGGGTCACGCAACTCTTATGGAGTCCTTGTGGACGGTATCTTTATGTCGCTGAACGCAAAAGTGATGGCGTCCTGGTTTATGATATCCGAGTGACCGGCCAACTGCTTGGGTGGCTGCAAGGGCGCAAGGCTCTCACTAACCAACGCATGAAGATCGACGTGGTGGCCACGGGCCAAGGAGATTCGCATGAGATCTGGGCGGGAGGAACCGATGGCTGCATGCGAGTTTGGCAGAACCCCACGTATAATCCTGGAGCACAGGAACCGAAGTGGGAGTGGAAGGTTCATGATGGTGAGTCTGCGTTGCTGCTTGCCACAGCATGTTGCGCGATTCTCTGCTAACATCATGTAGAGTCAGTAAGCAGTACTGTGGTGCATCCTTTAGGCAATGTGGCTGCAACAACTTCAGGGCAACGATACTTTGCGGACGAACCTGACGACAGCATTCTGCCTCCTAATCCGCAGACTGACAGGAGTCTGAAAGTCTGGTATATGCCGTTCTTGAACGATAGCAACAATGTCGATTCAGTCACGAGTTGAGGCGCTTAGATGAAAGGGAATCTCATCAAATTGAACCTTCGACCTAGGACTCGATGCCAACATCAGCCTACCTCGTCGGGGCACAGCTTCGGGACGAGTTGATGTGAGTATCAGACCGGAGGGATATAGGAGAAGCTCAGCATTAATTGCACATGAAAAGCATCTTCGAAGCTACTGTAGCCTGGCCTTTACTAGAGGCTTCTCGGCTAGGCTCCGATAGCTAAAGTTATCAACCTGGAGTTGTAGTTTGCCCATCACGAACGCGCCGTGTCAGCCATTTGCAACACAAAAAACATTGGGCTATGGCTCTACCTCTATTACTGGTACGCAATCTCCCAAGAGATTGAAGTGGCCCGCATGAAGATTTCCTATTTCGTTGTTTCAACCGGTCTTTGGTGGCAGCCTTCGTGCTATAAGTGAATAGTGCTCTGCCAGGGGAGATAATTTCCATCAGCCATCACACCTGAAACCTCAAACATTGGGTGAATGTGTTGATAATCTCAAAATCCTCAAGGCCCGATATTCACTAACACACCCCAACTTTCTGTTTCAATTTCAGACTTACTGTATAAACCCCCCCCTTGTTCTTCCCCCTCATTCTCTCTTCCCTTCCTTCCACCCCTCTATCTTCATGTCTTTCACTCCCAACTTCCTCAAGATAATCATCTTTTTCAAGTACATAATCTTGAATCTGCATCCCTTCGCACATACCTTCTCTCGTTTGTCAATATCTCCTGCTTTCTTCGAGCGTGTGAACGCGTCTTCTCTCTCTCACATCTTCACAAAGTGAAATACATAACTTCACTAACTTACATATCCCCTTCTTTGTATCTTCAACATTCATCTCAAATCATCAAATTTCTCTCTTGAATACAAAAGAAAGGACGTTGCTCTAAGGAGCGTGACTTTCAAATGCTAGGATCAAAGATCCTCAAGCGCTGCAAGGCGCGTCTGAGCCTTGCCAGACAGCTCAGACAGCGTCGCAGTCTCACTAATAACAACGAATCCACAACACCCTCTGGATCCTCCGGACCGTCTCTTATGCAGTAAGTCCTTTACAGCTCTTGGGAAAAGATCCATCCAGGCTAATACTACGCAGAGTCGATGGAGCTGGCGATCTTGATACCGAGCCCATCAACCTCGACAGTGATAATGACGACGCAATCACCACACCCTCTCGAACACTCGGAACATCCCCCCTGCAGTAAGTCTCCGACACATCTTGGAAGAAGATCCAGTCAGGCTAACACTATGCAGGGCCGATGAACCTGACAATCTTGCTATTGACCCTCTCAACCTTCATGGTGACAACAACACACCCGCTGGACCTTCAGGACTGTCTCTGCAGTAAGTCTCCGACATCTCTTGGAAAAGTATTCATTCAAGCTAACATCACGCAGGGCGGATGGGCCTGGCGATCTCGGTGTCAACCCTTCGAACTTCAATGGTTCCGAAAGGGACTCCCATAACTTCATCAATGCAAGTCTTGAGAACGATGTGCCCAACACTGCGGGCGATTCTATGAATAAGCGGGAGTTTGATGAATTGATGGCTCTTATCCAAGGTAATGGCTGGCTGCACCCAAATCTCACAGCGTGGCTATTTACTAACGTCGTTCTCCTAGCCGATGTTGGATCTAATGGTGATGAAGCCGACACAAGCAGCCCAAACAACATTGAACGTACTGGAAGTGGGACGACCAGTACCGAAAGCGTTGAAACTGCTCAGCGTGTGCAGCCCAATGAGCCAGTTCCCAACCACTGGGGCAGCTCTGCTAGAATTGTTGACGTCACTGATGTCAGTAACCCCGAGGAATGGCCTGCTGATATGGATCCCAAGAACCCATCGGTGGAATTCGGCACCCAGTCCTCATCAGAGCTGATCCACCCGAATTCCAACTACGCATTGCAGCAGGCTGTTGCCAGCGGCTCTTCACACAATGTGGGAGTCCACTACGGGCAGCAGAATCCTGGTAGTATGCTGTACACAAACTCTAATCTCTTCGGAGCTCCAGGTGCTTCTGCATTCGTAGATGGTAGCAATGTCGAGCACTTGCCCATCGGGACTTGGAATTCCGTGCCGTCGAAATCCTTCATGGCTGCGGCTAACCCAGCATCAGATGGGCAGTTGCAGCCTTTGACTCCTCCTCAGACTCTTGGTCGCGCCCCGGACAACCCAACCTTCAGACAGGCAGTTGAAAACAACCGAAAGCGTAAGCATGAGGCGTCGAACGCTGTTGTTCCGAGGTATGCCACTTTCCCATAACATCAGACCAAGCAGAACTTAGTCAACGAGCTAACATCTCCATCCAGCAGTTCCAACACCGCAGCTAGTCACCCAGACATCGCTGCTGGAAGCTCAAGCTCCCTGGCTGATCGTCATGGTGAGCTTGAGCGCCCCGCGAAAAGATGCAAACTTAACAAGAAAGACTTGGAGGCGCTGAGGCCCAAACGCAAGAAGAAGAATGGAAAGGGGAAAGGTAAAGGGGGCCGAGGCGGCCGAGGCGGTCGAGGGTCAGAGTCGGAATCAGACACAAGTCCTGAGCCGAAGCGCGTCAAGATTCAGAAGGCCAACTTTTGGAACTCCTTGGATCCCAACTCCCGCGGAGTCCGTCCCGGAAACTTTCCGGACATTGACAGACTTCTCAACCCAACCAGCGACATACCACAGGCCACCATCTACGATTCCGCGAGTGAGGCGCGTGCTGACCACAAGACCGATACCGACGTCGAGAAAGACGACGACACCATCCCCAAGACGCACGCCGCCAAGAAGGCTATCGTGGTGGCGTTGACCAATTTGATGATGGACAACTCTTGGGCACAAGACGGCAAGAGATCTTTTGGCACCTGGGACAACGCCTTCCACCCCAGGCATGTGCTAGAAAAAGCCGCGTGGGAGCTACTGGTAAGACTTTCTTCGAGCAATGCCAGATCCTTTGTAATCTTGCTGACAGACCGACTCGCAGGAAGCACTGATCCGGCGTAATACACAGGGCCCAGATCTCCTCTACTATGAATTTTTGAAGTTCTCGCTTCCCCCCAGGTGGTTGACTTTCAAAGAAAGGCTTTCGAAGGTGATGGAGGCCATGATCTACCACAAGACTGTGGTCAAGCACCTTCTTGATCCTCCGTATCTGCATACTCTCGTGGAGGACCCGTTTGGCAGCATTCACCGCGTTCGCGACAATAGATACCTGAACGGTAAGAAGGCCAAGTTGCTTAAGGTGGCGGCGGAGGCCAAGAAAAAGGAGCAAGAGGAGGCTCGTAGAGCTCAATCTTTGGCCCAGGCGCCCGTTGAAGAGGGACCCGCCTCCGGCGACGAAGTGTACTCCGCGGACGACGAAGAATCCGCAGATGAGTCCATTGAACTGGAGAGCCCGCCTACCTCGCCTCCTCTCGCGACCGCGGGACCTTCCTCGAAGAAGGGAAATGCCTCCATCAAAGGCAGCACTCCCAAGGCACCCGCGGCCAAGTCCGCTGTGCAGAATGTCATCCCAAGCACCTTTGTTCCGGCCGCAATGGGTCTTGACGATCTTGAAAACCTCATGGGAGAACCCTCTTATACTGCTGGAGCCAACGCGGACGCGCAGCCCCTGTTCCCCATCGCGGACCCCAACCCTCCCTTCCTGGCTACAGCCCCTACTGCGCACACTGCGATGCCCGGAGACCTCCAGGATCTCATGGACCCCTGGCTGGAAGATCTTGAATTCGTCCCTTTCGGGGCTCAGCCCATCCACCCAGCCTACGTTGATCCCGGCAACATGGCACAGGGCAGCAGCCTTCAGCCAAACGTTCAGAACTTGAACGGCCCCAACCAGCACAACATGGCACCTCCTCCCCAAAGCAACATGCAGACCGTCGATCCTCGTATGATCATGGCGCAGAGCAGCCTCGTGCCGGCGAGCCGCGCCATCCAACCCCGCCAGCACGGACAGATGCAGAAAGCCATGGGCCAAGACGTTGCTAACCTGAACATGTTCGACTCCAACAACAGCACGAATGCATTGGGTCCTCTCCCGGACTATATGCTCCCCCTCCCCTTGATCGATGTGCACAAAAGGAATGCTGGCCCTACGATAATCCCCAACCAACAGGGCTGCGTCGATTATCTGAACACAAGGGACGCTAGTTCCTTCGCATGGGTTGATCTCCCTAGGCCTACACGTGCTGCCCCTCAGAAGCCTGCCCCTCCGTCTCGTGCCGCTCTCGGTGGGCTTGCCCCATCTGAGCTTGCTAGGGTTCAGGGTGTCTTTGAGGATTGGAACAAAAAGAGGAACAAGCGCAAGCAGGCGGACGCTGGCATTCAGGATGATGTTCAGCCGTGCAAGCGCAAGCCATAGCTTACTGCTTCCATATGGTACACCAACGTACATACAATCCAGTACATCTTGGTGCTTGGATTTCGGTCTTTTCTTTTTGTCGTCTTTGCTTTTCGGCTTGTGGTTTTGAGGACTTACGCTTTTGAGATTGTGGTTCAGGTTTCTGCTTCTGAGATTGTGGTTCAGGTTTCGCGGTTGTGGTTTTGATCTTTGGTTTCGTTGCTTGCTTTTCGGTTTCGCTGCTTGCTATTCAGTCTCTGCTTCTTGCGTTGCTTTCTTGCTTTTCTCAGGTTTCAGGTGTTTCGTTGCTTGCTATTCAGTTTCTGCTTGTTTGCCTCTTTGCTTTTCTCGGGTTCTAGGAGTTTAGTGGTTATGCGTTGCGCTTTGTTGTTTTGCTTCTTTGCTTTTGTAAACAGGCAGGCCTGTTCGTCCCATGGTGGATGGGAGGGGAGAGTCTTGAACCGTGGGAGCTGCAAGTTTGGCTCAAGACTACCCATCCACCATGGGACGGACGGGCCTTCTTGAGAACGAGGAATGATAGGTGCTCCGTTTGAATGTGATTTTTACTCTAATTTTCTATCTTTTGTGTCTTGGACACAAACCCGCGACGAGACCCAGATTGTAAAGGTTTCCTGAATACAAGAACGATCGCTACGAGGATGGCGCCAAGGGGTTTGTGTGTATGATGCAAGGCCCATCGGCAGCGATGTACAGATGACAAGCCTTTCCGGTACGAAAGTACGGTTTTTTTTTGTTTTTTTTTTTTGTTTTTTTTTTCGCTCGTGTTTTCCTTCCTGCTCCCAAATTGAAATTGCAGAGATACCTTTTGTTGTTATTATTTTTTTTCGTTTTTGATGCAATTATTCTTCAATGCAAAGCCGATAAACCCCACTCCCCGCGCAGCTGCGTAGATCTGACCCTGGCCCTGGTTCTAGCTCTTCAGCTAAGATCCGACCAGAATCCGACTCGCTAGAACAACACCCAAGAATCTACAGAGTAGCACCAGGAGCAGAAGCAGGCACGATCCCAAACCGCTCGTAGGGAAAATCCTCCAACGAGGACAGCAAGACGCCCCACCCATCGCCCAACTTTCCCGGCGTGCCATTCCCATTATCCTGGCGCTGGCCCTCGCGCTCCGCGACCAACTCCTGGGCCTCCTTCTCGGCCTCACCCTTCTCCTCCTCCTTATGCTCCCCGGTCAACCCCGCCAACACCTCCTCCTCGCGCCCGGCATACGCCTCGAGCAGCCCCGGATGCGGCACCCAAACCACCTGCATCCCCGCGCGCCGCCCGGCCTCGACGCCGGGCACCGCATCCTCAAACACCAAACACTCGGCGGGCGTGATTTCCCTCTCCCCGCGGGCCCGCAACCCGGCATTGATCGTCTCCAGCGCGAGCAGATAGATATCCGGAAGGGGCTTCCCGCGCCCCCGCCCGATGCGCGGATCATCGCCCAGGACGCGCTGGTGCTCCGGGAAGGCGGCGAACAACTGGCCCAGGTGGGAGGACTTGAGGTGAAAGTTTCGGGCGTGCGAGGAGGTGGCCAGCGCGATGTGGACGGGGGATGCGGTGGATTGCGTGGCGACCAGCGTCTCCAGCAGGTGTTTTACGCCGGGCAGCGGCTTTGTGGTGGGGAAGCGCGCGAGTTGCAGCGCGGTGATTTTGGCGATGTATTCGTCTTGCGTGATCGGGAGTTGCGCCCAGTCGTGGAAGATCCGGCCTGCCTTTTGGGGGTGGATGGTGGGCATGGGGGTTAGTTTTGTTTGTTGTTGTTTTTTGGGGGTAGGGGAAAGGGGGATAGGACAAGGGGGGGCTTACCTCCGGGGCAGGACGGCCCTGCAGCTGGGCCTTGATCGACCACGGAAGTAACGGTTTGCCGTACTCCTGCAGCACCGTGTTGGTGATCTCGGTGTAGATGTCCTCCGAGTCGATGAGAAGGCCGTCCATGTCGAAGAGACATGCCCGCACGCGGGGTAATCTTCACATCGCCAGTCAGTCCAATTGGTCGGAGGGATTACGGCAGTGTGATAGCTGACTTACTCAGGGGTGGATGCAGACATGGTGGACGGGAGTGTGCTGGTTTCCCCAAAAGCAATGCTGAAAGTCACAAGGCAGCAGTCAAAGGAATGGAGTTGAGTTGAGGTGGACAGTCGATTTCTCCGCACTTGCGACAATTAATTCGATATCGGCTATCGATAGCGGGGGGAAGGAAGCGTTGGTGCCTCAGGCTGGCACTGCTGGTCTCAGCCCCGCCGGCCGACCGCCGCCGCGGGACCGCCCATCTCCAAGCTCAAGCTTGCTCGAGGATTGGAATCGGGAGAACCCCTGCTCAGCTCTGCACCGTCCTCAAAATGTCAAAAGACGAGAAGAGGGCAAGTGCCAGCGACAGCGAGGACGAAGAGGACGTCTTCCACGACGCCCGCTTCCCCGCCGACGAGGAGACGGTAAGTATAGCTACCACCACCACCACCACCACCATCACACCCAGTCCTAACAGACTTGAATCCTAGAAACTCCTCGAAGAATCCCGCTCCCTCAAAGCCGAAGCCAACCAGCTCTTCACAGCCGCCAGCTACGACGAAGCCATCACCTGCTACGACCGCGCCCTGGCCTCCTGCCCCAACTACCTCGACTACGAAGTCGCCGTGCTGCGCAGCAACATGGCCGCCTGCTACCTGAAGCTGGAGGACTGGAAGGCCTCCGTGGACGCGGCGACGGCGTGTCTCGACCGGCTGGACAAAGTGCTTCCCCCAACGACGAGTACAAGCACGGAGGTAACGAGTCGGGAAGGCAATAGTCCCGGAACAGCGACGGAGGAAGCAGTCGTCGAGATCACCGGGGACGACCAGGAGGCAGAGGAGGCCCAGCTCCAGCGGCTGCAGCAGCGGGACCAGACGAAGCGCGACGTGCTGCGGATCCGCGCGAAGGCGCTGATGCGCCGCGCGCGCGCCCGGATGCAGCTGGGCGGCTGGGCCAACCTGCAAGGCGCCGAGGAGGACTACAAGGCGCTGGCGGCCATGGATAACCTCCCCCCGGACGACAGGCGCGTGGTGCAGAAGGGGTTGCGGGAGCTGCCGGTCCGGATCGCCCAGGCCCGCGAGAAGGATATGGCCGAGATGATGGGCAAGCTGAAAGATGTAAGTCGGCGCCCGTTGGCCTTGTTCCATGTGTGTACTAATTGGAGTGATTCAGCTGGGAAATGGGATCCTGAAGCCCTTTGGTCTCTCCACGGAGAATTTCAAGTTTGTCCAGGACCCCAAGACCGGCGGGTACAGCATGAACTTCCAGTCTGGTTGACATCTCCCTGAGTGGGCGGTAAATAATGACACTACGCATGTGGAGTTGGGATGCATTTTTCGAGCGAAAGCAATAGAGTTATTTTTTAGGATGAGGTATAATTTTATGTGTTAAGGGGCTGTTTACAGCGGCGGTCGTTCAAATACTGTCCTGCAGTGAACATGGTAGCGATTCTCGAAAGATCATCAAGAGAGACCTTGTCACCGAGGTCGAAGATTGTGAATCGACGTTGGCTTTTCCCACCGAAAGGTCGCTGGACTTGCTGGGTCGCAGGCTCTTGAGAGCTGGGGCCATAGACTCGAGCAGTAAACCCGCCCTCAAGGTCTCCACCAACAACTGGGGGCCACGGCTGGATGCCATGGCAGAACTTGAAAAAGTCTTCTGCAATTGCAGAGCTCACTTTTTGCTGTGCAGGCGACATAAACTCACGGAAGTTCTGGAAGAGGTAAGCAAGGTCTAGAATGTGCCCAGCTCGGCCTTTCCAAGCGCCATCCCATGGGTTGCCTTCGTTAAAGTAGTAGACAAATGCGCGTCCCTTCCAGCCTTTTGCAGATGCCAATGAAGGGGCGAACATCCAAACGTCATTCAAGAACTCGAGGATCGCAAGAAACGCATCCTCGTCATCTAAGTCCTGAGTTATGCCGTACCTGACCGAGATCTGTTCTGCGACTTCTGGTTGCGTGGCAAGGACGGTTGTAAGACATCCGAAGAAACGCTCGGCGCATCTGTTCTTGAGATCAGACCTAATAGCGTGGATGATATTGGCCTGTCGGTTCAGCATGGGCAACATCGGACTGGATTAAGATTGTCACGTACATCAATCTGGGCATCGCCAACCATCAAGTCCTGGCACCAGTCCTTGCCTTTGGGGATGTGGTTGGTTTTATCCGCCAGCTGTGAGTAAGTTATTGCGGACGGAACCAGATCTCCATCCACTGCAAATGTCGGAGTTATGGACGGAGGGACCTTCGCGACCAAGTCCTCGCCAGGAGACTTCAGCAAGGCCTCAATGCGTTCCTCTGGTGAGGCACCCGCCAAGCCCAATGCTGCCATTGCTTGTTTATAGCTTTGCTCATGACTCTCGTAGGGTAGGCTAGGCGAGAAGAAACGATTCCCGCTCATCAAGATAGCTCGTTTGAAAAGAGGCGTTTCCGACTCAAGATGACAGGCGACCGATGCTGCGACACTCAGTCAACTCTGCCAACACCACCCAAACGTCAAGTACAGTACATACCAGCGCCGGCGCTCATCCCAGCAAGAGTGATATTGTCCGGATCCCCGCCAAAGTCACCGATGTGCCGGCGCACCCACTCCAGAGCGACCCGCTGGTCTCGCAGGCCATTGTTCGCTTTGTAGCCGGCGTTCCTCAGCTCTTCTGAGGTCATGAACCCGAACATGCCCAGTCGATAGCTTTGCCAGTTAGCACACACGCTTCTGCCCACTGACCAGCTAACAACATACTTGATGGACACTGCGACAATAGGCAGCCCGTTCGACACAGACAGCGCAACCAGTCGCTCGAGATCAAACTGCGGCCAGGAATTGGCCCCAATGAACAGCCCGCCGCCGTGGATGAAAACGAAGACCGGCAGACGAGCATCGGTCGTGGTGTCGCTTGGAGTCGCAATGTTCAAGTTCAGGCAGTCGACGTCGGATTGGGGAAGAGGCTTCTTGGGCAGGGTATGCTGAACGATGCTGAGCTCTAGGTCGCATCCGAACGACGGGGACAGTGTCGTCGGGCTTGAGCATTCATTGCTGGTCAGTCCGCTGCACAAATCAAGCCATTGGCTTGAGATGACTTACCCATCTTTGGTCGCGTCGAGCACCTCCCCGTCGCGAGTTTCAATGAGTTGGGCGTCTGCAAGTCTATCACTAAGCGTGGCATACTTGATGCCTAGGAATTGGGTCACTTTGTTACTATCGCGCCCGCGGATCTTGCCCAGGTTCTGCGTTAGAAGGATCGTCATGGTGGAAGGGTGACGCTGGGGAGATGCAATGAGTGAGTCTGGCGAAGGCCGCAAGTCTGTCTGAAGTAAAGAAACCCCCCGCACGGAAATCCCCCAGGCCGTACAGGCCCCGCAATCTCGGTGGGTCTGGCATTGCATCCGCGGCAGTTGTGGTGGAGGGTGAGGCAGGCAGTTGTTATCGTTCTTTAGATTGCAGTTTCCACGTGAGAATGTCCCCGGGTTGTCGCGGAGCGCGTATGTGCTGGGTTCTCGAGTGATTGACAGTTTTTGTTCGAAGGGGTTACAAGACTTTCACCTATCCCAATTGGTCTCTCAAGTAGTTTGTCATTATTTATGATGTTTGCTTATACTAGAAGGCCTACTTGACTTGCTCAAACTACTTTGCTTATTCAATATATGAATTGAACATATTTGTATAAGATTCTTGCAGAGATCACATTACTTATAGAAACTATCTTAGAGAAGCCCTTTTGCTTACAGGACCACCTCGCTCGTAGACACCACTTTACTCATACAAATTTGGGATTGTTGAAGCAGTAGATAGACGCTTGACTGATCTGTGGAAAAGATACCACCAAATTACGAATCCAGCCACCACTCCAACCCAGGTCGCAACTTCCTCCGCTGCAATTCAACCCAGGAACAGTAAACTTATCAACAACCAGAAGAAAGACACCTGCAATGACCAACAAAGACCTCAATAAATCACACCCCGCCTCATTGACCTATTCTTATCAACCATCACTCCTTGCTTATATCAAGCCAGTCTACCGAAACACTCTATTCGATGTCAATGTCAAGCAACACCCCGACCCAGAGGGAACCCACACCAACCAAGGTTGACCCCGACATCCCCGCGGATCCCGCCGAGCCAAGGTAAGCATCCACTCTTCCTAACTCACCAGAAACAAACAACTGACCCCGCCAAGCGAATTGCCTTATCATGTAGGCCAAGAGATCAAACTCCACCCCACGAGCCCCCGCGCCGACCAGGTCACCACCATGCACGCCAGAGTCCTCGACGTGTACGGAGTCGAGAACCAGATGGCCTGTGTGCTGCTGATCGAGGTGGACCCGCCGCTGGGGAAGATGACCTCGCCGATGTTTCTGAAGCTGTTCGACCGACGCTGCGCGGGCGAGGCCCGGACCCAGAGGCTGGGCCGCCGGAAGACCGACGCCGCGCACTGGGCGGCGGCGGTCGAGCGGGACTACCACGAATACCTCTGCCAGCAGGAAAGCCACATCGCCGTGGACCTCCTCTCGCAGAACGAGAACCCGCGCTTCCAGCACCTGAGCTGGGCGCCCGCGCACAAGGAGATCTACCTCGAGGGGCTCGTGCAGCGGAGCCTGGCGAACGAATTGGCCGTCTGGCACCGCCTGCGTCTGCTGGAGGGCAAGATCATCCCGCGATTCTACGGCGGCGTCTTGGCGACGTGGGAGGTCAGCGTGGACGACGCGGGATTCACCAAGACAGGCACGTGTCATGGGTATCTGCAGCAGATTCTTCACGGGTGCGCGTTCTGCGATCTGTGTGAGAAGTTGCCGGAGAGGCTCTGGGGTACCGCCTGCGACGATGTCCTGCACATAGTGCGGACGATTCAGGATTGGGGCGTGCGGACGGATCGGCTCAGTCTGAAGGACTTTGACGTGTGCTATATCACGGACCCGGATGAGGATGACGACGAGAGCAGCGCCCCCTTTTATCGAGTGTTTCTAGTCGACCTCAGATCCTGTGTGAATCGGAGCTCCCGCGAGAGTGACTATGCATGGAAACAGCGTATTGCTTGGGCGGATGAGGAGGGCGCTATCGCGCGAGACTTGGAGTTGCTCACGGGTCATGCGTGGACATATCATCGCTCGAAAGGTTCTAGTGAGCTAGAACATGACGTTCCCCACGTCGAGCATAAAGAAATGGTGGAGATTGATAAAACCCCAATGTCGCCAACGAGCTCCGACAGAACAGAAGTCCCGGGAAGTCCCTAAGCTGTAGTGAGTAGAATTGGGCAACGATTGGGACATGCAGGAAGTTATCCGTTTAGTATAGTTCGCGATGACAGGCAGCAATAGCTAAAATATAGAACTTTGGACCTTGAATTGACGTAAATTGTACCGATGTATACAAACAGAAGGAGTTCGAGTGAAATGAAAGATAATCAAACTACTGCTATATATGACTTACCATGCCATTATCATCTTGATTTGGTCAGCCATAGACACGTTAATCACTTGCGTAATGGTTAGTCTGATCCAAATGGCCATAGCACACTACACGACTGTCGAGTTAACAGTGGTATTCATGAAGCTCGACCCCAGCTTCGCCTGCGCAGCCTGGATCAACGCCTCGACCGCGCCGTCGAAGTTCGAGAAAATATTCCCGACAACCGACTCACCGCACGGGCTCTCCTGCGCGGCCGACGAGCTGGAGCTTGTGTCTCGCTTCCGCTTGAAGCTGATCCCGGGCGTAATTTCGACGCAGTTGTACTGCGCCTCGGCGGCGCGCAGCTGGCAGATCTCGTCGGTCTTGCAGTCGCCGGTGCACGAGGAGACGTCCCAGCCGCGGCTCTTGCGGGCGTAGTAGTCCTGGAAGACGGCGTCGTCGCTCTCGAAGAGCGCGGTGACGTTGTGCCAGAACGCCGGGGTGAGCTCGGCGGCACTGTCGGTGACGGGCGGGTCGAGGAGGGCGCCGTAGGTTTCCTTGACGGCGTAGTATTTCTCCCAGACGGGCTTCTCCTGGTAACTGGGGCTGGACATGTTGGCGATGTAGACGGTGAAGTCGAGGACGCCGAACGTGACCGGATCGACCGAGTAGACGCGGAAGGTCGGGTTGCCGGAGGTCGGGGTCAACGCGGGCGCAATGTACGACATCATGGTCGCGGTGGCGGCGGTCTGGTCGGTGTAGTTCGAGTAGGCGATCTCGAACTCGTCCTTGTGGGTGTGACCATAGAAGACGGCGGCGATGGTCGCCTCGTAGCGCTGGATGATCTGGTCGAAGTAGTTGGAGCCGTCGTGGAAGGTGTCGCCCGAGCCCATCGGCATGTGGCCCATCAACCACACGCGCTCTCCGGCCGTCTCGGCCGCGGCCAGTTCGCTGACTAGCCAGGCGAGCTGGCCGTTCGGGTCGGTCAGCATGGTCTGCTCGTAGAGCCAGAAGTTCTCCTTGTAGTAGAAGTTGGTGTTGAAGGAGATGATGCGGAGGTTGCCACCGGAGTATTTGACCGAGTAGGAGCCATAGTCGTCCGCGGTGCTGGCAGCGGTAGATCCAATCCACTGGCTCCAATCGGCTGACAGGGTGTCGTAGGCCCACTGACTGGAGATTGTAGTGTCGATGTCCGAAGTTGGGAAGGAATTTACAGGCGCAGTGTCGTGGTTACCGGTGACGCCGTAGACGAGGTTGAGGTAGTTGGGCATTCGGGTCTTGTAGGCGTCGTTGAGATCATTGGTTACCTCAGTCTCGTTGACCAGCCACACAGCGCCTTCGACGACGTCACCCGTGAAGATCGTGAAAGAGGCGTCCGGGACCAATTCTTGAATAGCTGCGTACATGCTTTCCTCCAAAGTGAGAGGAGCGTCGCAGTTGTGGTTTCCATACTCCCCTGCAGGATAGTCCGTCGATCCAGGCTCATCCGAAGCGGTATACGGGCGGCAGCAGATATTTTTGGTACAGTTGTAGCTAAAACCAGATTAAGGTCAGCATAAATGTCGGGTGAAGAGGTAGGAGGCGTGGGGTTAAAGGACATACTTTGCACCAGTTTCATAAGAAAGATCAACGTGGATATCACTGATGTGGACGATTTGCAGAGGGGTCTCTCCACTTGAAGCAGGCCGAGACGCGTTCGCTGGCTTAGCAGAAGGAAATTCGACATTGTATTCGGCCACAGCCGGATAGTCACAGAGGCCAAAGATGGTAGTACAAAAGAGAACTGCCGTCTTGGAAGGGACGTCCATGTTACGAAGATCGTGAGCCAGAATAGGTCCTTCGCGCGAGATTGCACCCTCGCAAACATCGTCGTCGTCCACCTGATCTCTATCAGTAGAGTTCATCGGATGACGATGGGAGGCTCGCCTACCTTAGCCAAGATACAAACCTCAGTGATGACATCCACAAAGTCATCGTTGCCCAAGTGAGCAAGCGCTTGGAGAACAACCAGCAAGGCCTTGGAGCCAGATCAGCCTAATGTTTCGGACCACCAGAAAGTAATGCTGATAAAAGCTTGCTCACCTCACACGCAGCACATGTCGTAGCGTCCTCGATATCTGTTAAAATATCGCTCACTGTTGATCTTTTATTCAGTCCACTTGACGCGACAGAGGCGCCAAGCAGACCCGCAAAGCAAAGCAGTTGAGAGATCTTCATGGTGCACGGGAGGATGAAGCTTGACTTTGCCCAGAGAGCGAGAGGCTTTACCTAGCCTTTATAACTACCAAATCGATTGGAGTAACCCATGCATTGAGCGCGTTCACAAGTTGTATTCTCCTCGATATCCTCGGTTCAGGCACGTTCTCTTGCATTGGGCAATGATTGACCCTTGTTGGCGAGCAGAGTGGAGTGAAGAGTGAAATGAAGCTTTGAGAGTAGCGAGCATGCCGAGACATTCGTGAGAATGATTGGGCAAGAGCGGTTCGGAAGGGAGTTGAAGATATTGAGATTAATTTATTTGCCGGGGCGCTAGGATACGGAAGAGCAATACCCGGCTGAAGATACTCGCTTCTACCACAAATCGGGTGATGACTTCCTCCTTGGGCTAGAACATCAATATTCTCTTGAACGGAGCTTGAAGTCTTTAGCCTGTTGTCGGATGATGAAGGTCATACACAAGCTCTTCCACTACCACAATCCTGACTTGTGTCGCGAGATGGCATATATGATCAAAATGCTATAGGTGTGAAATAAAACTGCATCGGCCTCAGTCCACCATCGCGCGCGCAAGAGCCTGAAATTTATGGACCACCTCCGCCTCTTGCTCCGGCGTCAATTGAGCCTGTTGTACGATATACAGACCATCTCGAAGACGAGCATTGACGATGAGCTTTTTGGTTTTCGACTTGGCGAGTCCTTCGACCGTTTTGGCAATGCCATGGAATGGATATGCCACCAGTCCGATTCCAGCTACGCCCAGAACGTGTCAGCTTTTCCCCCATCGTACGAGTGGGTAATCAGAGCGTGCGCGCGAGCAACTTACCAGAAGGAACCTTTGTCGCCAGTCCGATAGTACCTTTAGCAAACCCTTTCATAGCGCCCAGTACCCCTTCTTCTTTGGCTCCCTTGATGGGCTGTGTGAAGAACCCCGTGAACCCATCTGCCATCCCATCCACAAAATTTCGGCCACCCATCACAGCGCCTGATTTCCAATCTTTTACTGTGCCATAATTCTTCGGTTCTTCTCCATAGAGCCGGGGGATCTGGCGGAACCCTTCTGCTGCGGCATGCGGGATGTCCACCACCACGCCTTTGAAGTAAGAGCCGGTAAACTTGCCAAATTCCTTCAAGGTTGCACCCGCTACATTGCCTGCGGTGGCCAACGAACTTGGTTGCATCTCCCTGCTTTCCCCGCTCTTTCTGGAAACACGATAGCTGGTTTCGTCGACGCTTAGGTGTGCAACTGATGCTGTGGAGCTCGTAACGGAGGACGTGCTTCTGCTCATGTGGTTTGTAGGGGGCCTAGGAGAGCGGCTGCGCTTGTATTCCTTGTATGGCTTGTAGAGCATCCCACCACTCGACTTGAGCATGTCGTACCCTGTACTTGTCGAGGCGGATATCAAGCCTGTGAGGGGATCCCAGCGGCGATTCTCGATGAAGATTGGGTTGATTTCATGGCTAGTCCGAAAATAATGTCAGCATATGAGCAATTCGGCAGATCACCTTCAAATTTACAAGGCATGTTAGAAGGCATAAGCAGACCTTCTAATGTCTTTGGCGTCGATCATCGACTTTTCAATCAGGATTTGAGCAGCTGGCTTGGATAGATAGATTTTCCGTTTCGATTTGACACATGTCCAGACAGCAGCGTGATTAGGCAACACATGGCAACGCATTCGCTCTAAGGGCAGATGGCGATGGAATGATTGAACAGCTGCAGTGGCGCCAGACTCGGCTCGCATCTTAGTTGCAATTTGCTGAGCCGCTGCTGCTGCCTCCGGTGTGAGGCAAAGTCGTATGGCATCCGCCAGGTTCTTCGAGTCGAGGCGTGAGTAGGGAATGGGTCTGGCACCCGCGCCAGCACGGGCTACCATGTTTCCCCAGAAAGGTTGACTGAGATGATACCGTGTTAGTGATGGTAGATTGACGGATCCTAACGGAGTTGACTCACTCCCCAAAGAAAGGAACAATAGCGGTTGGCCGCCCATGAGCAAGGCCACATGCCGTGGTACCCGCGCCACCATGATGTACGACTGCAGCAACATGCTGAAAAAGCCACTCATGCGGACAATCATCAATGTAGAAGATGTTCTGGTTCGAATCCCCTGCTAAATCACTCCATCCACGTGAGATGATAGCACGAACGCCAAGACTTCTGACTGCGTCGAGGATGGTCCTCGTCAATTGCTGGGGGTTATCAACGACAATACTGCCGAAACCGATATAGATGGGAGCTGGGCCTGACTGCAGGAAATCGAATAGTTCCCTGGGGGGGCTGTATGATGGTGTATCTCTGAAGAAGAATCCACATATATCTGTACCGAGTGTTATTAATTCGTTCTGCGTATACTGCATCCGACCGTCATACGTACCAATGTGACTCGGCCAGTCTCGTGGTTTAGGTACTAGTGCTGGGGACCAGCAGTATGTGAAAGGTATCTTCAAGGTCTCTGCAAGGTTGGGTCCCTCCGACAGTGGGATGGGATCCAAGTCGATACCTGCTCGCCATCGATTGATCACGTCCCCTAATCTACAATGAGCACTATTAGCCGGAATCTCAGCCACTTTCTCTCAGAACACGTACCCTTGCCAGGTCAGCCATTCTACAACTCCATATGACACCCAA